GGATTGTTTAGAGATAGCTTAGCGAGAGGCAAACGAGCGACATGATGATCAGGTTGCAGATTTGAAAATGTTCAATATAGGAACGTTAGACAGAAAAGCTGCAGAAGTTGCTTGGAACTTAGTTTAATGACCCAGCACGCTACCCAGAGATTCATGTTAGCCATCTGGTAACAAAAGCCAATATAGCTGGATATCCATAACTAAATCCTTTATATGAAAACAGGACTGCCCTTCATTTGGTCTGTAAATACAATAAGCAATGGAGCTTAAGACCTGAAAGTTTAGTTCATTCCAGATAAAATGCTAAAGCTCTTCTAACATCCAGAGCATGCAATCTCTCCTCCCCTTATTACCACGAGACTTTGGGATGAAGGTTGGTAAGAAAATTGCTTTAATAAAATGAAAAGTGGAGACCCTCTTGGTAAGAAAACTTGTGTGAGGATGACGATAGACTTTATCCATGTAGAAACCATATAAGGAGGATCTGATATGAGAGTCCTCAACTTCCCAACTTTCCTGGCTGTTGTAACAGCTACTAAAAAATGCAATTTTCACTGATAGGTGCAACAGCATATTGCTAGAGGCTCAATGGGGAGGACCCATCAGTTTTGTTAAGACTAGATTCAGGCTCCAGGCTGAAATAGGGTTCTGCACTTGCAGAAAAAGATCTGTCCAAACCCTTGAAAAATCTTACTGCCATTGGGCTGGAAAAAGAACTCGTTTCCCCATCATCTGGGAACTTGTCTTTGAACTCTGAAACTGTATCTCACAGGGTGAAATCATAGTGCCCCAATAAAACTTGCTGGTTTGCAATACAAAGCTTTAACCTGCCTGTGGAACAAAGCTTCCTCCCAAATAAGTCCAGCTTCTCAATCTCTTTATTCTTCGGGGTTAATGCATGGTAACCCTGTTTCTCACTCTCTCTGTGGCTGCTGACGCAGGGAGCCCAAAGGGGGAGGATTATAGTAATGCTCGAACCCCTGAGAGGGACCATAGTATCTCATCTCCACTCTTTTTGCCGTCAGTGACAGAGAAGCTGGGGTCTGCCAAAGAATCTTAGTAGGCTACAAAACCGCATCATTAGTAAGCAGAGGAATCTAGCCTGGGCCATAGATGCCATCAGCTTGTGACTTTTCCTGGACCTCCTTCAGGTGGATGTCCAGGGCCATATCCATCCTCCTCAATAACTCGTGATGCATCTTATCATCATCAGAAGGCAGAAAATAGGTTCTGCCACACCTGCCTCATCAGAGGACGAGGAAGAGGATACCAATGGTACTAGGGTCTGGTCCAGTTCCCGCTCCTCTCATAGATGCTCTTGAGAGGGGTGCTGCATCTTCAGTGATGGGCTCAGTACCAAAGCAAAGGGTGTTTGCAGTGTCAATGCTCCTGACAGCCAGTAGATGAAGCCAGCTGACGTGGATGTGGGGATACTCTCGATTAAGAGGGGAACCCCATATGTTTCAAATGGGCCACTGGTACAGCCATGGTCCACAACTGTGCATGGCCTAAGAGTCCTTTCAGTAAGCCCCTTGTTGATATGGAGGCTAAAACCAGGCAGGCAGATGGTATATTCCTGATGGTGCAATCAGCTTGGCTGGGAGATACAGGATTTCACTTCAGAGTTCAATGAAGAATCCTCTTCTTGCAACCATGGTGGGGCCATACCAGTCAGCATCAGGAAGGAAATGTCAGACTCTGAAGAGAGGGGAGCTGGGGAGATCATCTGTGGGTTTACCCTAGACGGTACCTTCTTAAATGGTATCATGATGGCCCAATCAGCTGGACCAGCCTGGTGCAGAGGTGAAGCCGCTAAAGTTGATATCTTGGGAACCAGTGCCAAGCAAGACTCCTGAGCTGCCAGTGACGGCAGTACCCAGAGGTTCAACAATTTTTTTGCAGCCTCATATGTCTCAGACGTAGACAGTAGCAGGAAAGCACTCTGTGGTACTGGGACACGAGGTGATCCCGAAGATGGTACTTCAGGAGCCAGTCTCAACAAGCCTGTAGTGGGCTCTGGAGCCACTGAACTCCTCTGCTTAGAGGTGTACTCTGGGGAGTGCCTCCTCTTTGAGCTTCCACCTGAGTCCTTAGATGAGCTCGACCTCTTTGCTTCCTCTGATGGTCCTGGTGCCGAGTCTGATTTACGGTGCCGCCTCTTTAGTACCAGTGATGCTGATCTACCTCTCAGAACTGGTAACACTGGAGGTGCTCAGTACCTGGACCAAGGTAGATGGTTCAAATGGAGGATACAGCACTGATTCCAGCAGCAGAAATTTCAATCTGGCTGTCCGGGGGGGGGCGCGGCTTGGAACTGGACTTAAAGCCCTTACAAATAAGACTCATCCAAGCATCCTCCAAGCACCTAAGGCAGCTGGGGTGAGGGTCACTGTTAGGCACTGCCTTACCACAAGAGTAGCAGGGCCTGAAACCCAGAGAGCGTGGCATATCTCCAGTACCAGGGCCAGTACAAAGGCTGGATGCCAGATGCACACACTTTTTTTTTACTATACTAACTACAATAACTACACAGACTACAATGGACACTATTTACACACTAGACTAAAGGTTTGCTGAAGCAAGCAAAGGGAGCTCCAACAACAGTCACAGGTGGTAGGAAGGATCTGAGTAGGGTTGGGGGCAACTGCACCCTTTATACCTATCTGCTGTGTTTGAGGCACCAGAGGGCACTTGACAGTTTGTCTCCTTAGCGATACCATTCAGGGTGGCACAACTGTGCACTGGTACACACACATCCCAACACTGGAATGGATATGTGCAATCACTCAAAGAAGAACTGGGCATGAAGAAAAGAAGACTGAGTGGATAGTCTTCAAATATGTTAAGGGGTGTTATGAAAAGGACAGCAATTAGTTGCTCTACACATCCAGTGCAGGTAGGATAAGAAGTAATCAGCTCAATCTGCAGCAAGGGAGATTTAGGTTAGATTAGGAAAAATTTTCTAACTGTAAGGATTGCTAAGTACTGGAATAGGTTACCAAGGAAGATTGTGGAATCCCCATCTTTGGAGGTTTTTATGAACAGGTTAGATAAACACCTGTCACGGATGGTCTAAGTATACTTGGTACTTCCTCAGCATAGGAGGATGGACTAGGTGAGCTCTCAAAGTCCTGGCCAGCCCTGCATTTCTATTATTCTATTTAGATTTCTCATTTACACTGCAATTTAGAATTATGCTGAAATCTACAATGCAGTAATCCCCAACCCACACCCAAACAGTAGAAATTACTGAAGAGTTAGAACTTTATTCAAAAGTAAGATTATTTGAGGAACAGTGTCTTAATGAAACAATTAAAAAGCATTTAGACTGGTTAAACATGAATGTTTAACAAGACAAAATAAAATGCATGTTATAGAACTGCTGAACATACAACCTCATGGGAGGTAAGGGTGTTCTGTCTTTAACAAGCAATTAGAAGACTTTGGGCACAATTCCACCTATCCAATTTCATTGTAGCAAACTCAAATCTTCCCAAAAGCTTGCCAATTGTATGGTTTTACCAAACTCTCTGTCATTCAAATCTACATTATTTTGCTGCATTAAAACACAGCCAGTCTATCAATATTAGTGCATTCTAAAAGACTTGGTCATCTGTTATTTTTAAGTGATTTGGTCTAGCATCAATAGTCCCCTCTTCCCCTTATTGTAGGCTCCTCCACCACAACATATTGTAAACAGACCATATGCAGTTGTGTTCCCTCTTCCACAAATAAAATCATAGTCCAGTCAACTATTTCAGGGTAAAAATCATAACACAAACAACTGCTTAGTTCATTTTAGGAAGACATTTTAAGACTAGCCAAAACACAGTTTTAATTACGCTCTAAACTAACAAAACATGAGGGGATGCAGAAGAAAACAAACATTTTGGCCTGCACAGCATACATAAAGGAGATAGAGTAACTGCAAATTTCCTGGGCTCTTGTTTCAAAAACTCATTTTAGTCTAGTTTGACATATGTACATTTCTTACATTTTTAAATATAATTTATCGGTTATTATAAATACATGTGAAAAAGATTAAGAAGTCATCAGAACATGCTATGCTGTCCAACAGAGATGTTATTAAAGTCTTATCATTAATCTCTATGGAAATGCTGTAGATGTGCATCATATTGTGCATGATTTTTAAGATGCAATATATGGATTTTTCTTTTATAACTTTTAAAAATGAAAAGCAATTCAGATATAAATATCTGCAAAATCTGGCATTTTAAGAAAAGATCTTAAAAAAATGCAAACGTCTGATTTAAAATAAAATAAATAAAATAAAAGGAACAAAAGGCATGCATAACAACTAGATAAAAATAAAAACAAATTATTCCATTTAGAAATATTTTAGCAAGGTTTCAGCCGTATGCAATTTTTGCTTAAAACGGCATTAAACCTCTGAAAATAGGTATTTCTATTATAAATGCCAATCTCAGCCAATAACTAGAACTGTGCCACTGCAATAATTCACCTAAATAGAGCGGAGAACTAACTTATTACAGTAGCTCTGACATAGTACTGCTGCAATAAGTTTACATGAAAACATGTACACACTAAGACCATGACCTGCTCTAGATAAAGGAAGTGCAAAGGAAAATGTCCAGCATGCAGCATGCACTCCCTCTACTGGGCACTGAGATTATTCAGAACAGTCTGAACAAAAAGAGAGAAAATAATGCAACATGTCCAATCATGCAAGTGCTTTCCTCTTACCCTCCCCTAAATTTCAATCATAATTTAGATTCACACACAGAGGCTTTTAAACTCTCATATATACTTTCAAAATCTGACACTTCTTAAGGGATGTAAACATCTAACTCAGTCCCAGAATAATCACTGATTATATGAATTTAACAATGGTGTAAGCACACAAGGACTTTCACTTACTGAAGAGTACTAACAGTAATCCTTATGTTTGGTTATCCTTGACCAATGTGGTCAGGCTGCCCCTCCTTCAACCCCCAAAATTAAACAATAGAAGTTCTTACAGAATTAGAAATGTGGTGATGGCTATTTAATGTCTGCCAGAGGGGCTTGAATCTTGACAGGCAGGGTGTACGGCTAATGCAATAATATTTATAAAGGCAACACAAAGGGGGGTGGACGGCTGGCTCTGGACAGTCAAAGGATATGGACAACATTTGTAGCTCTCTTTCTTCTCCTCCCATGGCTCTAGCTGAAGGCAGGAACAGAAGGTAAAGCTGTGCAAATAACAATAACCATAGGGATCAGCACTTAAAGAACTTTCCCAACCCCCTCTTGCCAGGTTTCCTGCTACAGAGCTTAAAAAACACAACTTATTTTCTCAAACACCCACCCTGAGCAATATGAAACTGCATGATGAGTGGAGGTAGGCGGGAGGCTAGGGAGCAGAAAGCAAATAGGAAAACAGATGAAAAACAGAAAGATCAGAGATGGCATATGTATATATGAGTAGGGCCCTACCAAATTCATGGTCAATTTCATGGTCATAGGATTTTTTAAAAATCATAGTTTTTATTATTTCAGATATTTAAAACTGAAATTTCACGGTGTTATAATTATAGGGATCCTGACCCAAAAAGGATTTGTGGGGTGGTCAGAAGGTTATTGAGGGGGGGGTTGAGGTACTGCTACCCTTACTTCTGCACTGCTGCTGGCAGTGGCACGGTCTTCAGAGCTGGGCAGCTAGAGAGCAGTGGCTGCTGAGGGAGAGCCCAGCTCTAAAGGGAGAGCCACCGCCAGCAGCAGCGCAGAAGTAAGGATGGCATGGTATGGTATTGCCACCTTTACTTCTGCGCTGCTGCCTGCAGAGCTGGGCCCCCAGTTAGCAGCTAACACTCTCCAGCTGCCACCTCTGAAAGCAGCAGCGCAAAAATAAGGGTGGCAAGGTATGGTATTGCCACCCTTACTTCTGCGCTGCTGCTGGCAGGGAGCTGCCTTCGGAGCTGGGCACCTGGCCAACAGCCACCACTCTCCGTACCCAGCTCTCAAGGCAGCACAAAATAACCTTGCAAAACCCCCCCCCCCGCAACTCCCTTTTGGGTCAGGACCCCCAATTTGAGAAATGCTGATCTACCCCATGAAATCTGTACAGTATAAAGTAAAAGCACAAGCAAGACCAGATTTCTTGGTGGAATATCAGATTTCATGGTCTGTGACACATTTTTCATGGCCATGAATTTGGCAGGGCCCTATATATGAGAAAGAACTGAAAAAACAAAAGGGTGGCAACTGTGGACTGGTTCAGGCGGATAGCAGGGAGAAAGCAGAGATGCCCACTGATTGCGGAAGATACAGTAGTGCCACCACAATTTCAAAAAAGACAAGGCAGGGCCCAACAAATCATGAAATTAGCTTTACAAATCATGAGATTTAAAAATAATAAACATCAGATTCTTTTGATTTGCCTGCTGATTTCTGAGCCTTTAGGGTGCATTTTTGGGCTTTCCTGCAACCAGAAGAACTAAAAACTTGCCTAAAAAAATGAAAGCAGAGACGACTTAAGTAAACACTTGTCTCCAGGAGCTAGGGCTTTAAGAAAAAACACTAAGTATCATCAGATTCAAGATAAAAATCACAAGTGTTTGCAACACTGGAGATGCCACACAAAATATATAAAGGCTGATTACTACTACTCTTGATGCTATGTTCACCAAGAGTAGAAAAGAATATTTCAAAAGACAATTCTTCCAAGAATCAGTATATTGGAAAGGCTCGTACTAACTCCCTTATTCAAAGAGTTAAGGATCAATTTCATTAACATCTTGACCACAGAACTAGCAAACTATATCCCTAGCAAAGGCAGACTCGTAAATTCCTTCCAAGTGCAGACTACATAGAACTGTGAGTGACTGCTCATCTTTTATGCAAAGGCATGGGTAGCTGGGACTACAAACCCATTTTGATCTGAGGAGCCACTATTGATAGAGCCTCCATTCTTGCTGGTCTATTAAAGAACAGGGTAACTGCATAAAAATAGTGCGAATCCTCCCTATGTTGCCACTGCAGCAGTCATGGATGCAAATTTTGTAAGTCCCTAACATTCTGTTTTACATTTTGCCACTTTGGTGGTACCACTAAAATAAAATATGTTCTCCCTGAAAGATACAGACATGACTTTAATAGGGAGTCTTGACAACACTTAAGGAGATGAGCAGATATGCAAACAATTCTCCTGTACCTAGCGTGATAATCTTCATCTAACACCATTTACTTTGCAGATTGCAACTGCTCCCTGGTACATAACAATAACTTGATATCAATTGTCATAACATACAGCTTATGTTAGATCTACAGCAGACAGAAACTTACAAGTGATCTTTTCCACAATAACCATCCTACTTGGTTCATTTCTTCTCTTCAGTTCTTGCATGGTCTCACCTCCCTCTTATTTCTGCACATGCTGCATATCTACACTCCCGGCTGTGCCATTCTGCTGACTCAGTGTGCTAGCAGTTACATGTAAAATCTGCTAATGTCCTGATCTTTGCAGTGCTGTATGTAGATTAATGCTCAGTGATCAAGATATCAGTACATTTCTCTTAGCTCCAGGGATACAGAGGACAGCACCAAAAGAGAGCAAGACTGTTTTATGGTAAGGACTAAGACTCGGACTCTACAAAGATTTATACGGGGCTGATGTTCACGAATTTGAGTTAGCGCCAGTGGAAGGACTCACGCTGTATGAAGTTAAGTATGGGCGTAAGTCCCAGCAGGATCAGGGCACAACATTCTTTGTTTGATAGGCCTTGCTGGACCATTGGACTTTGACAACATTTTTAAAAAAATGTAAAAATCCATTTCCTTCTAAAAGTAAGTTTCAACTAAATAATCCAACACACATAGAGAAACCATAGGCTTTTTATGAAAATGCTTCTGCAGCTCATTATCCCCCTCATTCACAGCTTAAATTTAAGTAACTCAGCACTAGTTAAGAACAAGTTTGGGCATTTCCCCATGAAAGAAATGGAAGAATTACTATTCATTTATTTTCCAACGTCCCTTAACAAGTTCCATGCCTTAAATTCTATTAAGATGTCAAATAATACTGTGTTCAAAATAAGCGAATTATTAAATATTTCCCTTTTCCTAGCTGCCTGCTCTACAACATTTGAACCTGACAACAAACAATGGTGAACAAGAATGGTAACAGCACTATTTTATGCTACTCATAGAATGAAGGCTTGAATGTCTTTTAAATCTGATAAAAAAAGACAGTAACCAATATTCTGGGCAGAGGGCCAGCATGTGCAGCCTTTCCCATAAAAAAGACAACAGGGATGGCAGCAACTATGCTGACTCCTCCATAGCTAGTTATGTGTTTTCCCATTGACGGGAAAGCAGTGGCAAGAGAGTCTTCTGAAATATTACCTTTCGTTCAGCATTGGCATTTGTAGCTGGATAGTATACATAGCCAGGACCCTGCTGTACCAGGGAGATGTGCTGGGACCCAGAAATTCAAAAATCCCAATCTGGCCTTGTCTATGCAGCCAAACAGAGTTTAACAACAGTTGATGAACTTCACTGTGGCTGAATCAGACTAACAATTTAGTCTAGCCTGCAGTGACAGAGATAAACTGTTATAACCCACTTAAAAGCCATGTTTTACTCCTGGACACTCTGACCTAAAATAATTAGTTTTTAAAAAAATATAGTTTGGCCATTTATACCAAACAATATAATAAGCGCTATTTGACCACAAACAAGTTTAACAATTCTTAGTAAACTCTGTTGTTTTAGACGTATAGATGGGGCCACTGACTTCTTCTGTGGCTTTGGACAAATCATCTAATCTCTCTGCCTCAGTTTCTTCACATAGTAAAATAGTAGTTAGCGCTAACTGACTTCTTCTGTGGCATAGTAAAATGAGGATATTACAATTTACTCATTTCACAAAATTTTCACTCGGAATAACCTTTGTGAAACACTCTGAGCATTAAAGCACCATGTGATAGCTAATTATTATGAGAGGCTTCCAAGTCTGTCACCCAACCTCTGTAGATTATAAGCACTGTAAATCAGGGACCACTTTTTTTCTGACTTGTGACGTGTTGGCATAATTTTGCATGTTTCAAAATAAAATGGTAACAACAATATGTATTGTAATGAGAGAAGACAAACGCGAACACAGAAGAGACCAAGGACACAATACAAACTGTTCATGAAGAAACTGGGACTAAACAGAATTCTAAAATTTAACTACCTCACTATATAAAAAAAATGAAGATAGCCAGTGTTAATGTCCTATCTAATAACGAAGACCCCGACTCTGCAAACATTTATGCATGTGCTTAACTTGGCTCACGTAGGTAGTCATATTGGAGTCAAAAGGATTACTCAAATATACAGAGTTAAGCACATGCTTAAGTGTTTGCGAGAATTAGGGCCTACAAGGAAATGTTTTGACAGCATTTTTTTTTTCTGTGTGCAAATCAAGTGTTTGAGAGTCTACTCAAAAAATGTTTAATTTTAAACACTCACCACTTTTCTTTTCCTCTCTTTATAGTCAATGTTCATTTCCTTATGTTTCTCCATAGCAGTCTCTAATTTTTTCTTAAAATCAATGGCACATCTTAGACAACCATCATTTATTCCTGCTCTGGTGAACAACTACAAAGCAAGAGATATACATTCTTATTATTTCTGCTACACACATCCCCAAGAAAGAAAAAAATTCTTTGTTTTCATCCATTTGTAACATGCCATGCAATAAAGCAGTTTGCTCTTACGCTAAGTAATCACTGGTGATCCCACTTCTCTCCTTTACCCGCACTTCTTTCAAAACCTTTTTTTAACTGGGGTAGTAAGAGCTGATAACAGCAGCTAGAGTCAACCAAGGAGTAGGCAGATGCATTACAAGTTTTCCTCTGTGAGTGCACCTCACCATACAAAATTGCTATCCCCTGCAACGGACACTTGAGCAGAGACTACCAATTGTGTTGAATGAAAAAGTGATTTTCTAATGTTGACTTAGCTCAAAGACATTCATTTTCACTTTAAACCTATCATATAGGCCATATTTAAACTGACATCTCCAAAAATGAAAAGCTCATGCACTGTGCTAGGTAGTTTAAGCAATGTTGAATGCACTCAAATAAAAGTGATGCAACACTGACAGCCAGTTTCTAACTCAGATTTATATTTAGCCAATTACTACCACCCTGCCTGCCTCACATACTTATACCAATTACTTTTTCTCAGTTTAATTTGCTTTGTTTAGTTTTCTTCAGACTTTACCCTCCCCTTCTTTTATTGCTTGTTATTGTTTTTGCCATACGTACAGACCAAAAAGATTCAACACATAAGTACACATAAGCCTCTATTTTGCACCCAGATACTAAGTTTGGTGCAGCCACACCATCTTTAGGCTTTTGTAACTTTTGGCAAGATGGTCTTTACGTGGGTCCCCAAATTACATGGTTTCATAATGGGTGTTAGCATTTTATGGAAGACAGGCTGAAAGCAAGCAGAAAGAAGGGAAAGAGCTTTTTTGATTTTTCTTGGCAGAAGTCATCTCACCTGAATCCAAGACTGCACAGATGGCAAGAATTTATTTCTGATGAGTTTGTGTGCATCTATGATATTGTTTATTATGGCAGTATTGTCTTCATTTTCACGCACTTTCACATCTGTTGAAAAGGGAGGAAAAAATATACAAGTATGATATCTTTAGCATCTTCACTGAGAACCGACAATATAAGTGGAGATGGCAGACATGAAACTTTCCAACATAACTGATCTCTTCAGAGATGAGTCACAATATTACTATGTTCAGCATTAATGCTAAAAATACTTAACCCAAAGACCAAAGAGAAAGAAGGGAAAATGCTTTTATTGTGCTGAATAACTCTGAAAAAGGGCTGCTAAACCAACACAGCTTAGGCATCACCATAGGAATCAAGGATATAATTGTAATGCAATAGTGACTAGAGGTTCCAATCAGGGATCTGGACTCTACTGTGCTGGGTACAGTACAAACATAATGAAAAGTTGGTCCCTGCCCCAAACAACAACTCTAGGAGTCTGATTTTCAAAACGGCAGGAATGCAGTTACCTGTGCAAAAAATGCACCTGCCCATTAAGCTTTCACAATTCCCAGAGATGTATGCAGAAATGGCCAATTATATATCTTACTAGCCATTTACATGTGAAATTGTAGTTAACTGTATGCACATGTACAGTTTACAGTAAGGCACCAGACTTTTTAAAAATCAAGCATAAAGTGTACCTGACTTTTCTACAAATAACTCAACCTCTTGAAATGATATTAAGAATCATATTTTAAAATCCTTGCTATCAGCACCCTATTCACTATTTTATGAAAAGTCTTTACAAAGTGTTGAGAGTTTGATTGCCATATTAAAAAATGTTTCCCCACTATAACTCAAGCATATTATTGTAGGGTCATGACTGAGGTCACTAATTTTAAAGAGGTAAGTGCTGAAAGCATTGAAACACCACCTTCTTCTCCCCCTCCAAATAAAGTTATATACATCCTGCAAACAGAATGCAAGCAATTCAGGACAGGAAACCTGTCTTATTCTAGGTGCTGTAATACATTAACAATGCCATATACTAAATCTTAACCAAACTGGTTGATTAGTAAAATCTGTAAAGCATGTCAAACACAATCTGCATTGAAGGATGGTTACTAGATGAGTGGCCAGAAGTAAAGGGGATCTTCTCGAAAGGGCTAAAACATAAAATATTAAATTTTGCAGTTAATGTCTCACAACTTCATATACAGACATTCTCAAGCTGGCTGTGTGGTACAGTACTAGGTACCTGTGGAGATTTCAAGGTTGAGAGCGTATTTATGAGAACCAAGCCCATGGTTCCTAACAAAGGTTTCATAGTCATCATCATCGGTGGCAGCAGCAATTATTTCAGCTTCTGAACATTCCCCTCTGTTCATTTCCTTTTGCTCAGGCAGCCCCAACTCTTCATTCAGGTCCCTGTTTCTATCAACTATTAGACATGGGGAAACAGAAGGAAGGTCCTTGCTGCAACAAGGCTGTTCATCATCCATTTGTCCAAGCAAAGATGGCTGGCGATCTGCTATCTGCATGGATAAGGAGGAAGTAGGTCTGTTCTCATTAGCAGTCCTCTCTGTGACAGGTTCTAACTCTGCATCATTCACAGTGAAGTCAAATGGATCTGGCATCAAAAGCCGGAAACAATTCTCCATCTCTGTCAGAGTGTCTTGGATTTCCTGGGACATTTCTGTCAGGAGATAATTGTTTTAGAATATTACTACATGCGATACAAAATGTCTACAGCTCGGAAGTGGAACAAACTCTCTTTCCCATTCCCCAGTACGAGAAGCCAATACAATGCTTGCAATGTAAGCATACCTGTCAAAGGGGCAATTCATTTATCTTTAAATCAGTAATACATTCCTATGCACATGGGTCCTCATGCCTGCCTTCCGCCCCTCCAAATGTCCCCCACATCAAACTAATAATATTCTTTGGTCTCAAGAGGTACAAAACAGAAACAACTCTCTTTCCTATCCCCTGAAAATCTCAAAGCATTATCAAAGATGGCCTTTTAATTATTTCATAAAATATGAAGTAGAGCAGATGGATTGGTAAGGTTATTCTCAGCAACGACACTGGGTAATAATCCTACAGTCCTGGAAATTATGCTGTTATAGCTGGCTACTGATGCATCTATGAGTAACAACCCAGACACATTTCAGCTAAAAATGACTTTAGGAAACTTAAGAGTCAGTTTTAAATTCCATGTCCATGCATAACTGTCCATAGCGCACAGCCACACAAGTATTCATAGCGCACACGCAAAAAGTATTTGAAAGTGAAACCAACACTTAAAAACTATATGGTAAGAGTCTCCACACCACACACACACACTCACTCTCATTCTTCAGTTTTGTAGAAATTAGTTTGCTATAAAACCTTTGCTTAAAGAAACAGCCCTCCAGTACACACAGATATCCATGGAACTTTTGCTGGACCTCTTATACCACGTACAGGACTCCTGCAGTGGTATTTAGCAATGCCTTTTGGAACACAAATACTCTACATGAAACACCTGAATCAGAAGATACTTAAATCACATGTCTAACTTTAAGCATGTGAATACAGCCGTTGACTTCAACGGGACTCTTCACATGCTTAAATTTACACATATAGCTAAGTTCTTTACTGAATCAGGGCCCGAGACACTTAATTACCTTCTTTTGTATCATCCCACGTTCTACCTGAAGTAGCACTACATCACTTGCTTTTTTTACCCTACATTATGTCTACATATGCATTACTTTCCTCATCCGCTTCTACAGCCCATTACCACTTGGATAGCTGCTTTCTTGGAGGCTGTATTTTATATAGCATAATTCCTTAATAAACTTCAAAGTTTTCAAAACATCTCACCTTCCATTTCTTTTTCAGCTCTTTTGGCTTTCTCTTTGTAAATGTTATCTAATCGTTTCTGTTTCTCCTCCTCCCTTCTCCTTTCAGCCAGAGTTCTGACATTTACGTCTTGAAAATCCACCTGAGGAGGAATTGAAGAAAAAGCGTTATATTCATTGTAAGAAAGAAACACTCCCAACATTCCTGTCTTTGATGAAATATCCTCTAATATGGTGGCTCTCAAAGCTGATCCGTTGCTTGTTCAGGGAAAGCCCCTGGTGGGCCGGACCGGTTTGTTTACCTGCCGCGTCCACAGGTTTGGCCAATCACTGCTCCCACTGGCCGCGGTTCGTTGTCCTGGCCAATGGGGGCTGCAGGAAGCAGCGCAGGCCAAGGGACGTGCTGGCCGCCCTTCCCACAGCTCCCATTGGCCTGGAGTGGTAGGTAAACAAACCGGTCTGGCCCACCAGGGGCTTTCCCTGAACAAGCAGCGGACCGGCTTTGAGAACCACTGCTCTAACATCAGTATGAGTCGGTCTCTCCATACTACTACTTTTTATTGCCCCTTCTCCCAGAAACAACAACTGTGGTAACTTTTTTTATTAGTGATTGCTGAGAATCAAAGGCATTAAGAAGGGAAAATGAGATCATAGGAAGCAGAAACCTGAACATTCTCTTCTGTCTGAGACCAAAGAGAGGAATCTATCTTTGATGTACGCTTTATAATTTTGGGAGGCCCTCACTTACAGTAATGGGGAGTGCAAAAACTAATGCTAGGTTGACCTATATAACAAGAATTTTAGAGTAAAAGCCAAAATGGCTACTTGCACACACTTTTCCCAATAACTTCACATGCAAGGAAATCAAGCAGTCCAGGAGCTAGCCATATCCTCTGCAACATGGGAGTTAAATCACTGAATTTTGGCTTTTACACTAAATTTCCTGGCTTTGGTGGATTTTTCTCAAAATCTTATTTTTTTATTTTACTCCTACTTTATTTCTTATTTTTAAAGCACAGAACACGATTTAAGTCATGCACCTTACAGTAGCTCCAAGTACTGCTTTGATTTTATTAATTTTAAATGTTAGGTTTTTTGCTTTGTTGTTTTAATTTGCCCATAAAAAGGTCTGAGAATTTAAATTTTTTTCCTTCCAAAAAATTATATTCTGATGTGAAAATCTATGAGCTAGCACTAAGAAAAAGCTGAATTTTGGTTGCTTTAGACCAGGGGCAGGCGAGCTGATTTTCAGTGGCACTCACACTGCCCGAGTCCTGGCCACAGTCCAGGGGGCTCTGCATCTAAATTTAATTTTAAATGAAGCTTCTTAAACATTTTTAAAACCTTATTTACTTTACATACAACCATAGTTTAGTTATATATTAAAGACTTATAGAAAGAGACCTTCTAAAAACGTTAAAATGTATTACTGGCAAGCGAAACCTTAAATTAGAGTGAATAAATTAAGACTCGGCACACCACTTCTGAAAGGTTGCCAACCTCTGCTTTAGACCTTATAGTTTAGTTACATGAGACATCTCATATTGCAAGTTACTGAGTACCATCAACTAACTTCCATTAACTTCAATGAGAGAGACAAGGTAGGTGAGGTAATTTATTTTATTGGACCAACTTCTGTTGGTGAAAGAGACAAGCTTTTATGCCACACAGAGCTCTTCTACAATGCACTAACTTCAATGCTAGTTTATATTGTAAAGTGCTATGCAAGGAATACTTAGGAACTATTATTCTAATGGAATTAGCAATCCCTCCCCAGATGCTAAATTCACATTCTGAACATCCAGATGAAATTTTCTTTGGTCATAATTGTTGTACATGAAACAAACCATATTTCAAAATAAAATGATGTTTCTGAGATTTTGTTTTTCTGTGATGTAAAGACCACAAGGGCCTCAAGATCATGTGCTTTAGATCACCGCCCTTTTTCACATGACTATAATTAATTATAGTAGGAGTGCAAAATCTGACACACATAATAAATGCCTGTATCATTTGAAGACCAAACAATAGGTGTGTAGCGAACAAGCATCCCTTTTGGCTTCCTCCAAGACCTCTCCTCGACAACATTCACCTGTACTTCACTAGTCAGGGATCAGGAAAATCAGGTCTGTTCCTGTCCTGGATTTCACACACTGTTGTCCAGTCATGTGTGTTTTTCATTTACTCTCTGTGCAATCACAGAATCATAGAATATCAGGGTTGGAAGTGACCTCAAGAGGTCATCTAGTCCAACCCCCTGCTCAAAGCAGGACCGATCCCCAATTAAATCATCCCAGCCATGGCTTTGTCAAGCCTGACCTTAAAAACTTCTAAGGAAGGAGATTCCACCACCTCCCTAGGTAACGCATTCCAGTGTTTCACCACCCTCCTAGTGAAAAAGTTTTTCCTAATATCCAACCTAAATCTCCCCCACTGCAACTTCAGACCATTACTCCTTGTTCTGTCATCTGCTACCACTGACAAAAGTCTAGAGCCATCCTCTTTGGAACCACCCTTTCAGGTAGTTGAAAGCAGCTATCAAATCCCCCCTCAGTCTTCTCTTCCGTAGACTAAGTATCCCCAGTTTCCTCAGCCTCTCCTCATAACTCATGTGTTCCAGTCCCCTAATAATTTTTGTTGCCCTTCGCTGGACTCTTTCCAATTTTTCCACATCCTTCTTGTAGTGTGGGGCCCAAAACTGGACACAGTACTCTAGATGAGACCTCACCAATGTCGAATAGAGGGGAACGATCACGTCCCTCGACCTGCTGGCAATGCCCCTACGTATACATCCCAAAATGCCATTGGCCTTCTTGGCAACAAGGGCACACTGTTGACACATATCCAGCTTCTCGTCCACTGTCACCCCTACGTCCTTTTCTGCAAAACTGCTGCCGAGCCATTCGGTCCCTAGTCTGTAGCGGTGCACTGGATTCTTCCGTCCTAAGTACACGACTCTGCACTTGTCCTTGTTGAACTTCATCAGATTTCTTTTGGCCCAATCCTCCAATTTGTCTAGGTCCCTCTGGATCCTATCCCTACCCTCCAGCGTATTTACCTCTCCTCCCAGTTTAGTGTCATCTGCAAACTTGCTGAGGGTGCAATCCACACCATCCTCCAGATCATTTATGAAGATACTGAACAAAACCGGCCCCTTGGGGCACTCCACTTGATACCAGCTGCCAACTAGACATGGAGCCATTGATCACTACCCGTTGAGCCCGACAATCTAGCCAGCTTTCTATCCACCTTATAGTCCATAAATCATTGGCACATTACTTAAGCCCCAATTCAGCAAAGCACTTACACATTTGTTTGACTTTAAGCACAGATTTAAATTCTACTGAAGTCAATGGGAGTTAATCACAAACCACAGGGCTTTGAGTCTAAGCACATGAACATACGTATTTTGCTCTATCAAGGCCTTAATCTTCGTGTGTATCAAATACTACCTTACCACACAGGAATGAAGTGAGACTTAACTAATATTTGTAAACTGCTTGAAGCTAAGTGGTGGGGTAGGCAATATTCCAGTTTTACAAAGTTACTGACATACAGAGGGACTTGCAATATAGTAAATTTAAGGGGGAAAATTGCATGTATATCTACAGACAGACAAAGGTAGTTGCATGAATACACCTGATTTTGATTCCCCTCATCAGTGTTAGTGGTTTTACAAATCAAATTTGCTTTTTAGAAATATTTCTTTCCCCACATTGTGTGTGTGGCTCTTTCAGTGAGCAAAGAAAATTGTATACAGTGATGTCAGACATACAAAGTAAATAAATGGAAATAAAACCCAGAAAGTTTCCTCTGATCTTTAATTATAATAAGTGCATCTAACATTAGTAGGTAACATTTAAATAGGATTTTTGACTTGTGAAAAGGTTGCACAGTGAGCTAGTGACATAGTCAGAATTAGAACACCAGACTCCCCAAATCCCAGTCCTGTGTTCTCATTGTGGTACCTCTCATACAGCAGTTTCATCCTTACCTAGGCCAAGTGGTGCCCAAACTTTTTACACAGGAGGGCCACATAAAGCTAAGCACAACCTTGTGTAGGCCAAACAGATTCTACATATTTTAATAAGGTTTAACGTCACCTGTATTGATTTACAGATAGGTCGTTTCTACATACAGTATTGTCTATTTACACACTTGTGTGGATTAAAATGATGTAAACATGATAAAACACTAATGAATCAGCCATTAGTATATTGTGTTGAAGTAGGCCGCAGTTGTCATAAAATGCTCTGGTGGGCATTGTACTGCCTGAGAGCCATACGTTGGGCACCTCTAAAATAGGGAAAGAGCATCTAAAAGACTAAAATACAATTACCCTACGTTAGCTCATTGGGTTTGAGAAATTATGCTGGGTGTCTTTGCTTAGATCAGAGTCGGCCTCTACTGGTCCCAGCAGTAGGTGCCTTTTCCTTTGTGCTAGTCAGACCCCATTCCTTACATATCCTAAAATTCTCTTTGCTTCTTTTACTATTACTGAACATTGAGCAGAGGTCTTTGTTAGAACTGATGCAATCCTCAGATTAGTATAGAGAAGATACTGATTAGAAGTAGGGAGGTAATATTACAATTATATACAGCATGAGTGAGACCATTACTAGAATTTTGTGTCCAGCACTGTACTTGGGAAATAAAACTACAAAGAATAATTCAAGGTCTTGAAAACCTGCTTTATAGCAAGATTCAAGAAACCCAATCTATTTAGTTTATCCAAGAGAAGGTTAACAGGCATCTTGATCATGGTCTACAGATACTGACATGTGGAACAGAAGTATTAGTAGAAGACTCTAATTTAACACAAAGGGATAAGATCCAATGTCATGAAATTGAAACTAGACAGATTCAGATTAGAAATAACAGTGCTAATTGACAGTCAAGGCAATCAGCCATTGCAACTACTTATCTTCAAATGTTGTGGAATCTCTGACTTAAAGTCTTCAAATCAAGATAGGATGTCTTTTCTAAAAGGTATGGGCTTGGTGGAATAAAGTTCTATGGCTTGTTATTAGTCAGATTATTAGATTGCCATAATGGTCTCTTTCTCTCTTGATAATCTATGAGCTGTCCACAGTGATGTCTAGTACTTTTCCTAGAACAGTAGTGATTTTAGAACCCCAAGAAATGTATCCGTAGTTCAAATGTCCTCCAATGTTACTTTGCATTTATCTGCCATTGTGTTACCTAATCACCAAGCTTGGGTATGCCCTCTGAAGTTCCTCAGTATTCTAATTGTAACTAACCAAGAGTTGTCTCATCTCCAAATTCTCATGTCATTGTTCATCCTCTTTTACAAATTATTAAACACCAGTCCTAATAAAGCGCTCTATGCCATCCCACTATTAGCCCTTTGCTATAATGAAGGTTGACCAATGGTGTTCTTAACTATCTGGTTTCTGATCCATGATAGTATTTCTCTCCCTCCCCACCACATGACTACTTAGCCCATTAGTAGATCTAAAGGCAGGAAGCTGAAGCGAGACAAATTCAGACTGGAATTAAGGCTGAATTTTGAACAGTAAGGGTATTTAACCACTGGAACAATTTACCAAGGGATGTGGTGCATTCTCCATCACTATCAAATTTTAAAATGAAGACTGGATGTTTTTTTAAGAGATATACTTTAATTCAAACAGGAACTAATTCAGGGAAGTACTATGGCCTGTGTGATACAGGAGGTCAGACTAACTGATCACAATGGTCCCTTCTGACCTTATAATTTATTAATCTAGCCATACGTGACCACAGGCTATACACCAGCTGGCTTCAGCTGAGAAGGAAAGAGTCAAACATCATCCATGTATTGAAACACCAGATTGTACATCCCCTCTAGCCCACCTAATAAGTTATGTACCCACTGAACACGAAGGTTATTAAAGAAACAGAATCCTGAAGAACCCCAAGAGATCATGTGGCACTGAATGACTGTTCTTTTATTAATGAGATCCAACAGGACAGTGGATAAAGAATGAACATTGATATTACAGCATCAATATAGAAAGGGTATATTTAACGCTCTGATTAGTAGCATATGAAGTAGTATATAAACTTTGCAAGGCAGTTATTAGCGAACAGGGAGAAAAAAACAAGAAATACAAAATATATTATAGTGTCTCATTTCTTGTTACTGCCTTTGATTTACACCTCTAGAAAAATAAAATCTGTGTTGAAGTGAGTTTTAGGTATTGTAACACAAGGAAAGACCTACCCAAATAGGGAATTTACACACTCTAATCTGAAGCAGTAAAATAAGACATATATTGTAGGAAAAGCTTACAGGTTGTCCTGTAATTAAAAAAAAACACAAAATTAAAAAAAAAAAGTCCTTAGCAGTATGGAAAGAACTTAGGTTACAGCAGGGAAAAAAGCTTAACTGAGTATCTAAATTTCAACAAAGAAGTGAGCAAGAAAAGCCAGTATTCACATTTGTCCAAAGAGAGAGAGACCTCAGCTTTGTTTCCAGCATATATCCCTTTATATTAGCTTACAGTGGAGAAATCAACATGTTCCAGAAATCAGCCTTATCTTTCTAAGTCAGAACCTAATGAGTAGATGTGGAGAAGTAAACATGTAGAAGTAAACAAGCAAAATACCTTCTTGTTCTGTTTTAAGAAATGGTATCCTAGGGAGAGTTTCTTGTAGGCCTCTCCATATTTCTCATGCCAATCTTGAACAGATTTAATGGCTGTTTTTTTCAGTTTTTGTGCTACTTCTTTTGGTGGGGGAAGAGGCTGCTCATGGTCTGTTTCAATTGTGAGCTCCAAGAATTCTTGAAAATTTGAAATAATTAACGTCCTAAACTGATGTGACCGGGTGAAGAGCTCATCCACAATTTGAAAAGCTGAGAAGCGTATCTCTGCATGTTCTTGATTCAGCTGTGTCATCAGTAGACGATACGCATGGTTAATATGTTCGTCTGAAGATCTTTTGAAAAGTAACAAACATTATCAACACAAGTACAACCACCAGTGAGTTTTTTGTTCTTTTACCGATTAAAAATATAATTTAACAGAATAAAAAGCTTTCTGTTTTGACATGAGATTAAAAGATATTTACCTCCCAAAAAATCACCCCCAAAAAACTCAATGGGAGTCTTTTAACAAGTTTTGGAGAAAACCCACCATCACCCATTATTCTATGGATTTCCCTAAACTTTCAAGGCAGCAATCAATTCCAAAGCATTGCTTAAAGCAAAAAGAAGAGTCTGGAAGAGGCCAGACTAATGGGTCACTGTGACCTGTTTTTTCTATGAAACAGTGGAAGATGATAAAATGCTAGCAAGAACAGCCCTATGCCAATATGTTCCTCAACCAAAGAATTTAACCATGCTTCATACTTGCAGATTTTCTTTAGCTCTTTCATTTTCTCTGGATTCAGTTGAGGCTCTCCTGAGGTTGTGAGGTCCTCGACCAGCTGAGAGAGCTTTTGGTCCATCTGCAGAAACTCATAAAACAGAGATAAATAAGACCACATTTTATTTGCCTGGCATTAATATTTTGACTGGGTGCTTTCATATATATTTAACGTTTCCCAGGCCAGCATATTTGGTATTCTGCTACATTACCTGAACCAGTGCTTATACCCTCATCTTGACCTGACCAGTTTTACTACAATACTTTATAGACTAGGAGCATTTTGACAGCTTTCAGAGTCGCAGCTGTGTTAGTCTGTATCCTCAAACAGAACAGGAGTACTTGTGGCACCTTAGTCTCCAAGACTGGGAGCAGATACACTTGCCAAAGTCAACCACAGAGGAGGGGCAGCCATGGTACCCCCCAGCGACGGAGGAAGCCAGCGCCACCCAAGAGGCCCACCCCACACACAGGTGCTGGAACGAGGGGCGGCCGCACCCCCCGGGCTTGGTTTCCAGCATATGCAGAGTCCACAGTTTGGCGCGACGGCTCTGCGCACCCCCGGGGATACGGATACAGAACCAGAACCAGAACCAGCCCCTCCCGCTCCCGCGCCGGCCAGAGCGGCGGCGCCACCTACCCTCGCTCCAGCCGACGCTCCGCGCGGACCGGAAACGGGGTGCGGCCCTCGCACCCCCTGGCCTCGGTATCACGAAGCCCAACGCCCGCCGCTGCGGGATGACGTTCCGTAACCGTCACTCGGCTGCGCCCGGTCTCCGCCCGAGATGGGCGGGGCCTGGGGGTGGGGTCTCAGAGAGGCAGCGGCGAGCGCGCGCCACCGCGCGGCCCGGAGAGAGCGTGGGAGCGCGCGGGCCGGAAGGGGGCGCGGAGCCGCTCACGCCGGGGCGGGGAGTACGGGACATAGAGCCCCCCGTGGGCCAAGGGCCCAGAGACGCCGGGGCGAGGGGGGGGGCCGTCCAGGGCCCAGAGACGTGGTATGGGCCACTCCATGGGTCAAGGGCCCAGAGAGTGTGGGTATAAGGGGAACTCCCGTGGGCCAAGGCCCAGAACGCTGGGGAGGGCGTAGGGGGCCCGCAGCTGCCCATGGGCCAAGGGCCCAGAGATGTGGGGGTATAAGGGGCCAGCTCCCATGGGTCAAGGCCCAAAGTGATAAGGGCACGCAGCTGCCCATGGGTCAAGGGCCCAGAGACGCTGGGGCGAGGGGCGTAGGGGGCCCGCAGCTGCCCATGGGCCAAGGGCCCAGAGATGTGGGGGTATAAGGGGCACGCAGCTGCCCATGGGTCAAGGGCCCAGAGACGCTGGGGCGAGGGGCGTAGGGGGCCCGCAGCTGCCCATGGGCCAAGGGCCCAGAGACGTGGGGGTATAAGGGGCATGCAGCTGCCCATGGGCCAAGGGCCCAGAGACACCGGGGCGTAGGGGGCACGCAGCTGCCCATGAGCCAAGGGCCCAGAGACGTGGGGGTATAAGGGGCACGCAGCTGCCCATGGGTCAAGGGCCCAGAGACGCCAGGGTGAGGGGCGTAGGGCGCCCGCAGCTGCCCATGGGCCAAGGGCCCAGAGATGCTGGGGCGAGGGGCGTAGGGGGCACGCAGCTGCCCATGGGTCAAGGGCCCAGAGACGTGGGGGTATAAGGGGCACGCAGCTGCCCATGAGCCAAGGGCCCAGAGACGTGGGGGTATAAGGGGCATGCAGCTGCCCATGAGCCAAGGGCCCAGAGACGTGGGGGTATAAGGGGCACGCAGCTGCCCATGGGTCAAGGGCCCAGAGACGCCAGGGTGAGGGGCGTAGGGGGCCCGCAGCTGCCCATGGGTCAAGGGCCCAGAGACGCTGGGGCGAGGGGTAGGGGGCCGCAGCTGCCCATGGCCAAGGGCCCAGAGATGTGGGGGTATAAGGGGCACGCAGCTGCCCATGGGTCAAGGGCCCAGAGACGCTGGGGCGAGGGCGTAGGGGGCCCGCAGCTGCCCATGGGCCAAGGGCCCAGAGACGTGGGGGTATAAGGGGCATGCAGCTGCCCATGGGCCAAGGGCCCAGAGACACCGGGCGTAGGGGGCACGCAGCTGCCCATGAGCCAAGGGCCCAGAGACGTGGGGGTATAAGGGGCACGCAGCTGCCCATGGGTCAAGGGCCCAGAGACGCCAGGGTGAGGGCAGGGCCCCGCAGCTGCCCATGGGCCAAGGGCCCAGAGATGCTGGGCGAGGGCGAGGGGCACCAGCTGCCCATGGGTCAAGGGCCCAGAGACGGGGGTAAAGGGCACGCAGCTGCCCATGAGCCAAGGGCCCAGAGACGGGGGGTATAAGGGGCATGCAGCTGCCCATGAGCCAAGGGCCCAGAGACGTGGGGTATAAGGGCACGCAGCTGCCCATGGGTCAAGGCCCAGAGACGCCAGGGTGAGGGCGTAGGCCAGCCATCAAGGGCCCAGAACCCGGGGTGAGGGCGTAGGGGGCCCGCAGCTGCCCATGGGCCAAGGGCCCAGAGATGTGGGGGTATAAGGGGCACGCAGCTGCCCATGGGTCAAGGGCCCAGAGATGCTGGGGCGAGGGGCGTAGGGGGCACGCAGCTGCCCATGGGCCAAGGGCCCAGAGACGTGGGGGTATAAGGGGCATGCAGCTGCCTGTGGGCCAAGGGCCCAGAGACGTGGGGGTTTAATGGGCATACAGCTGCCCATGGGCCAAGGGCCCAGAGACGTGGGGATTTAAGGGGCATGCAGCTGCCCATGGGTCAAGGGCCTAGAGACACAGGGGTGTAGGGGGCATGCAGCTGCCAGTGGGCCAAGGACCCAGAGATGCTGGGGCGAGGGGCGTAGGGGGCATGCAGCTGCCAGTGGGCCAGCGGCCCAGAGACTAGGGGGTGTAGGGGGCACGCAGCTACCTGTGAGCCAATGGCCCAGAGACACAGGGATGTAGGGGGTATGCAACTGCATGTGGGCCCAGGGGTTTAGGGGGCACACAGCTGCCCGTGGGCCCAGATATGCTACTGCTCAGAGTGGTGAGAGTATGGGGCATGGAGGGGCCATGACTGCAGAGATGGCAAAGCCGATTGCGGCGACCCTCAGCAAATACAAGATGCACCAGGGTTTTGGGACACCACCACCTTGGTGTCAGAGCAGGCCAGGTCCGAAAGTAATTACAAGAGGATATTTCACAGGCCTTGCAGGGATTTTGGCCCTTTGAGTGTCTTCAGCAGAGACTAAATTCATTCAAGGGGGAAATTCTGCCAGGGTCAGAGGATGAATTTCTTTGCAACGGGGATCAGATAAGGGGATTTTCTTGCACTACTTCAGGTTGAAAAACTTCAAGGTCTTTGGAGTTACGGAAAAGAAATGAAAATCATTAATCCTTCTGGTGTCTGATACCCTTCCACCATGCTGGACTCCAGCCCCAGTTATTCCTGCTCCATATTCCATACAGTTCAATAGATCTTTAAATCACACTGCATTAATTTACAAGCTGCTGCCTACAAACTCCATATTGTGACTGTCACATTATCTTCTGTGATGTTCATTGCTGAGATTCATCTAGCTCCACCATTAATTTAATTTAGATGACAACCATTCTATCAACAATATTAAATACTGAATCTGGGGACCTAGCACAGTAATTTTTATGTTAAATATTTGCTGAATAATGTTCAACATACAGCAATGTAAACTACTCTCTCTGGTGCAAACCCCAGCCCCCCAAGGAAGCTAATGCAGAGGAGTTGAAGCAAGGAGGAGAAAAACAAGTGCATGTTCATGGTTCTGTACCCAGCCCAACCCCATCTCACTTTTGCATTGTAGGGTGAATTTTCTTGTGCAGACTGCAATGAAAAGATGTGGTCTGAGGGCTGCTGCATGTCCAGTAAATTGAAAGGCAGTCTCAAATGGGCCTTTAAAGCTGTTATCAACTGTCAAGTTAGAGATGGGAATAAACAATGAGATCCAATCTAGTCAATCTCCCTGCCACTTCAGGGCTGTTCCCTACCATACATTTTGTAGTGCTTAGTCCAGTCTGTCATTCTGTGATGCAAATAATGGGGCTTCTATTACTTCCTTTGGGAAGCTGTTCCACAGTTCAAGAGACTTTTATGCATCAATTTGAAGACTGTTGGGATTACAGGATTTTTGTGATGAAAGGGTTGTTGCTGTGTGGCCTTTGGAGACTAGTACAGTTTACCTATAAAGTGAGTTACGTATCCTGATTAAAGAAAGAAAAGGATAGTTTATAAAAAGTAATCAGATTTTTCACATTAAAGTCTGTAACTGATCTTATGCTGTTGCATCCGATGAAGTGAGCTGTAGCTCACGAAAGCTCATGCTCAAATAAATTGGTTAGTCTCTAAGGTGCCACAAGTACTCCTTTTCATTTTGCTCTTATACAGTACCTGTCATCTGAAGAGCTAAAAAGACCTTATGACCATTACTGTAAACCTCTCAACCCAGAGAGAGTTTGATATCCGCATTTAATCAAATAAAGCAAGTGAGGTATAGAGAGGCTGCGCAGTAGTTTTCAAACTTTTTGTATTGGTGACTTCTCACACAGCAAGCCTCTGACTATGATCCCACTTATACATTAAAAATGTGGGGAGTAATTTAATGGTGGCTTTTGAATGTCAGCCCCATGGAGCTGACAGTTCACAACCACCTTGCGGCCTCCTGAGGGGTCACGCCTCCCAGTTTGAGAACCGCTGGGCTAATGGGTCTAAGCATACACAAGTCCAGCTCAAGTCAATGGGAACTGTTCAGACAGCAGTTTTATCACTTCTGAAAATTTCAGGTCTCTAATAAGTGACTTGTCTAAAGGATGCACCAGGTGATTAGTGGCAGAGTGGGAATGGAAAGCAGAAAGTTGACTCCCAGGTCTAAGCACTAGGGTCTGAACTTCATAGAGCCCTGCACTCACTCACTGTGATCAGTTATTTTATGCATTGCTTGTTTGTAAATTTACAAAAGTTTGATCCATTGGACTGAGCATAGGCCTGGGGAAAATGAATTCTTAAATTCTGATCCTGGCTCTGGCACTAGCTTGTGTGGAATAAAGCCAGTCATTTAATCTTTCTGTGTCTCAGTTTCCCAACCAGTAAAATGCAATGCAAATGTAAAAACTATTGAGGTTGTTGGCTGTTAGAATCCAGGGCAGCTGGATAGCTCATACTGTATGTGGCTATTAAATCTCACAAAAATTCCAAAAAAACACACATGCCCAGGATTGGGTTATTAAGGGTGTCTGGGGTGTGGAGTACATTTGCTTACACCCTAACAAAACTTGACTGATTTACTTTTCTTCTCTCCCTTCTCATTCCACACATGTTCCATAATCTTGCCTTTTCCCCCTTATTTGTTGCACAGATTTTCACCATGAGTTACAATTTGTAGGTGGTCAGGTAGTTGCAACTCTCCAAGTTATAGTACACGTTGAGAATACAGCACATATTTCTCTCTTGTATAAGTGAAAGACATTAATTCTGCTACCACTGTTGACCAAATCACTTAATGGCTAGTGGTCAGTTAAAATTAATTCATTTATATTAAGAAAAAAATTAAACTTGCAAATTATGCCCACTGCATTTCCCCAGGTTCCTGTCATTATTACCTTTGATTTGCCCCCTTAAAGAACATTCAGAGATACTTACTAAGAAAAAACATGGGAAGGAATGTAAACTCATGCTTCAGACTATAAGCCAATCTCTAACTGAGTAAGTTACAAAAAAAAACTTTTCTGTATGGACTGATTATTCCATAACTGTTTCTTCCACCTTCTTCTGA